ATATTTGCAGTCTCAGATTCTTCTGAAATAAAAAGAAGAAATATGTGAAGTAAATTCTATAATGGTTGTTGATTCTTGCTTTCATTTGGTAAAAAATTGATACCAGTATATGTTAACGACTGATATTTTCTTTTAAGACATCTCTTAAATGCGTTTGTCATGATTTCAATATCATCTCAGTGAGAGAATGTGCAATAAAGTGCATCTATATGTTTTTAATTACTTGTATAACAAGTTGATAAACCAAATAATTCCCTTCTATTAATACCTTTCAAAATAAGAAACCTTTCCCAAACATCAGTAAGAGTTGTTCCAATATGTGTACAAACTATTTTTCCTTGAAATATATGTAGATTGTTTTCCAGAGTATTTGTAATGAAAAGACGAGCAATAGCCAGAACCTGCAAAATTCAACTCTTCTTTATCTAAACTACCAAGTGTTCTATAAGACTTTAATACCATTAGTAACAATTTCAAATGGAAAAAATAAAACATTTCCATAGTTGTTCAACAAATATTTTATCATAAAAACCCAAAATGCTTGTTCCAGAATAACGTGTTGTTTTATCAAAAAAAATTTTATGACCACTTTACTTGGTGTTGAATAAATCATTGCATCGTTATCTGCCTCACATATATAACCAGGCTTCATACCATCATTTGTATTTACAACTATTCGAATAATAAATTCTTCTATTCTTATTGGATAACATAATTTTGTATTTTCTTAATAAAATTCCACCAATAAATGGCAAATGGGCCATGATGGATATCTCGATCAATTTCGTCAGGTGCTATAAGGTATTCTTTTATATTTTGACATTGGGTCAACAAGCGGAAACACCAAGACTTGAGAAAAAAATATCTGATTAATAGACGGATCGTCAATTAATCTCGGACTTCCATTAATTGGTCAATCCCATTTAATTAAAATTTAATCTCTATAGGTAAAATTGTTTTATTTGTCCTCCCATATCTACATATATTTATATTATATTAATTAAATATTATATCGTGTAACAGTGATTTATAAATAGTTTTGTTAGTATTGTTTATTAAAGGAAAACCTTTTTTTCTAACAGCGAGTGATTTTCAAAAAAAAAACAACTAATTCCTTCACTTTGCTGCCTTTAAAAATCATATCTCTTCAAATATATGTTTATATATTTACACGCGCACATCCCTTTTTTTTAATATTCACATTACATAAATATTAAAATTGTTACCGACTAATTAATCATTGATACTAAAAAGAGCTCGATAGACTTTGTCATAAAGAGCTCTCAAAGATTTTCAATTTGAACGACCAATATCCGCCTACATTAAATTTGTGTTGACTGCAAATTGGTATATCTACGTACTATACTCTTCCGGCATTTAAACACGCATATACTACGAAAAAATGATTGATGACGTAGTTGTTGGTGGATACTGGTTAGTTGAAGAAAAAATCGGCGAGGGATCCTTCGGCGAGGTCTTTCGAGGTATTACTTTATTTATTATCAAAATACTTTTGCATGTTCCTTCAATTATTGTATTCATACTTATATGTACATACGCTTAAATTTTGACATTAGCAAAGCATATTACAACCAAACAATTATATGCAATAAAGAGAGAAGCTACATCCATAGAAGATCCCCAACTACCACATGAATACAAAACTTTGAAATTATTAGATGGTTATGGTATTCTTACTTTTAAATTTTTAAACAAACAATTTCTTTTTATCAAGTTTATTAAAAGAATCATTAGAATAATTTATTAAATGCTTATATATTAAAATAGATCACATTCCAAAGGTTCACTGGTTTGGAGAAAAGTCTGCTTGGAATTGCATTGTGATGGACTTGCTTGGTCCAAGTTTGCGTTCTTTAAATCAAGCATTTCGTTCTTTGCCAGTAGCTTTCATAAGTGATATTGCCATTCAAATGGTATCTATTAGTTTAATTGATAAGAAGAATTTGCAGTATATTATTATTAGTTAAAATTATTTAATTTAAAAAATTTATTATCTATTTTATATTAAAAACAAAAATTTATATAGGTGTCAATTCTAGAATACATACACAATAAAGGGATAGTTTATAGAGATATAAAGCCTGATAATTTTCTTTTGGAAAAATGTTTTCCTATATCATCAGATAGGATACTAATGTATAATACTTTTGACGAAACTCCTGAATCAAAATTACGCGACTTTCAACTTTTAATTGGAAGAAAACATAAAGTATTTTTAGTGGATTTTGGTTTATCAACCAATTACGTTGATCAAAAAACCGGATTCCATATTCAAAAAAATCAAAAAATGTTGAAAAGTAAAACTGGCACTGCTCGTTATGCTGCTCTAAATGTTCATCGTGGATATTGTATGTTATTTATCACTGTTTTTGATGACATTGATATGACGTTTTCTAAACCGTGATAATGATGATGATAATATTATTTTTTAGATCATACAAGACGCGATGACATGGAATCATTAGGTTATGTTTTCTTGGAGCTTCTACGTGGCTCACTTCCATGGTCTGGCGTTATAGCGCGTAATTCTCGACAAGGTTGGGCAAAAATGCAAAGAATGAAAGAAGAACTATCACTTGTTGAATTATTTGAAGGCCTCCCGACTGGATTTATGACTTATCTAAATTATTGTAGAAAATTGGATTTTGACCAAAAACCAGATTATGATTATTTAAAAAAAGTTTTATCGTATGTTTTTATTTATTATATGTATATATATGTGGATTTATATTTATATTTATATTTATATCAATGGATTGTTTTATTTAATTATTAGTGAGACAACAGGATCTGGCTCTGAGGCAGAATTAGTAGTACCAGAAGTTAAATGGTTTGATGATGTATCATTTAATAATGCACCACTGTCACCATTTAATCGTGCTAAAAAATTTTCAAGCCGACAACGAATGAACAAGGATTTTACTACAAAAGAACGTTCAAATTCTTTTAATATCCCACCTAGAACAAATTCGTTAACTTCATCAGGGGTTGATTCATTATCGCCTCCAAGAACATATTCTTTGCCGTATGGAGATCCTGCTCATGTATATAATACACATCAACCCAACAACAACAACTACAATAATAAAAATAACAATAATAGAGATTGTGATCATCATGGAAATCGTAATGATAAAAAATCCGTATATATTAAACGACCCGTAGCAAAAGGAGCTTGGTTCATTTCAAAAAATCCTGGTGCAGTTTGGGATCAAGAAGTAGCAGCTATTGAAAATGCATGGAAAGAAGGTTGTTCATGGAATGGGAATGATGTTAATTATAAATCAAAATCTGTAAGGTCTACACCCACAAATGAACATTCTTTTAACGACAATTTAGATAATTTTAATCACCATAACAAGTCACCCCTACCATCACATCATCACAATCATCATCATTACAATCATTATCATCATCATCGACCAAAACAACAAAGAGCTTATTCTTTACCTTGTCAAGAAACTGGTTATGTAAATAATACCAATCATTTTAATAATAATAATAATAACAACAATCGTGGCTATGATCGCTCAGGAAAAAAAAATGATTATCACCAAGCAAAAAATAAAAAATCAATTGGGAAAACTTGGAATATGAAATACTATAATGATCAAAAATGGGACAATGTTGAAAATACATGGAAGCAAGGGCGTGCTTGGACCCAAGATAATGTTGATAGTCAAGAATTAAGTTCTATACCATCAACACCAATAAACGAAGGCGGAATAAATTTTTGGAACTATAATATGGAACAAGAATTTCATGGATTTGATGGTGGTTTACAAAGTTCTGACGGTTGGATTAATCATTTTAACGATGAAAATATAGTTCCAACAGAAGTTGATAAACATAATATTGCTAATAATAATAATGATAATAATAAGAATAGTGTTGATAATAATGGAAGGTTTAAAGTTAGACAAAGAAATCAACAACGTAATTCTGATGAATCAAAACATAGACCGGATCCAATAAATCTAGAACGATCTCATTCCTTAACATCCAAAAAAAGTCGTGATTTACATGATTTACAATCTAGACGTCCTTCAATTCCTTCTCCATTATCTATATCTATACCACCTAAATCGATTTCTAATCCTGCAAATTCGGCAGTATTATCACCTAATTTTACTTCTGGGTCTGATTATGGTAACAAAAATATTCCACTGGGTCCAAGAAGAAGTATCCCAAACATTCGTAATAATAATAATTCACTCGCTACAAAATTTTTAAAAAGAAGCGTACCGAACTTACGAGACGTTGCAAATAATAATGTAGTTCCTCCACTATCAGCTACCATAAAAAGAACAATGGCTCACATGCAAGATGCTCAGCAAGTTCCAGCAATAAACACCAGGAAACAGCAAGTTATTAATTCACGTTGCCTACCAAGAGAATTCATACAACAGAATTCAAATGAAGATACACATTATGCTAGTCATAATGTAAAATATTCAATTCAAGATGCTAGGTATTCGCCTCAAGATGCTCGCTTCTCCTTGGATGTTAATCATAGAAAGCGTTCAAACACTTATAGCCACAATTATTTTAAAAAAGCTTAAATTAGATTATTATAATAGTAGTAGCATAATAGTAGGTAATAGTGCACGTGCAACAATTATCATACTACTATTATTTTTATCAATATAAATTTTTTAAATTCTTGGTGTATATTTTTCCTCCCTTTGATTTACATTCAATATTTTTTTCTTTTGTTTATCATTATTATTATATTGTATAATTTCTTTTTATTATTTATATAAATATAAGGAAGGTAATTTGATTTAATTTATTGTTATATTTTATACACTTGTAAATTGAGTACATTAGATTATTTATATATAAATGTTAATACAAATTCATTTACTTTGTAATATTAATCTATTAATAAAAAAATGAACTTGGATGGATTTCGAAACTGTTTATTATTATGTAGTAATAAATTTACAGGGAAGAAAGAATTTAAAAATTTAAAATATTTATTTAAATGAAAAAAAATCTAATAATTGCATTGATGTTTCTTGATGTTGCGCAGGAGATGAGGAAGAGGACAAGTTTGAAATTGAAATTTGAGAAACAGGATTATTAGTCTCTTGTTGAAATTCGGTGATCGCGGTTAAATTATTATCGTGGACATTATTGTAAGGTAATGAGGTTATTATATCGAAACTAGACAAATAAGACTCTGATGTTGTTGTTATATATTGCAAGTCAACTTTATTATCTAAACGGAAGAAATAAAATAAATATTTTTAAGAAAAATGAAATTTTCTTTAAAAAAAAAATTAAAAAAGTAAAAAATTCACCATTAACAAATTGTCCAATGTTAAATTCATCATTACTATTAACATCATTATTTTCAAGAGAAAATAAATCGTTACATTGAATAATTTCAAAATTTTTTTTCTTATAAATATTTTTTCTATTAACTTTGTTTTTGATTTTATTATTATATTTTTTTGTTTTTTGAGGTCCTCGTTTCTTTCGATCAGTTGTAAAATTGCATGTAGTTCCGTGTTTTAAACAATTATCGCACGGCGCAGTACCAAACGAACATTTAATTTTACGTTTCTTGCAAATGTCACACGCGATTGTTACATTCTTTCTGTCAGTAAAGATTATATTGTTATTATTGTTTTTATTATTATTATTATTATTATAAATATTGTTAATGTTTGATGATGTTGAAGAAGAAGAAGAAGAAACAGGGGAGGAAAATATAGTATTATTAATTATGGTGGAAGGATCGATATATGTGGGATTTTGACTTTGCATGATTATATAAATAAAATCATCGAAATCATTATTTAAAGTTGAGAATTTTTTTAAAAAAAATCAAAATTGATCTATTTATATTAAAGAACAAAATCAAATTTCTTTAGTTCGTTGGGTTACAATTGTGGCTAGTTCTGTGGCTAGTGTAATGGAATAGATGAGGAAATACATTCTAGAAAAAAGAATAAGCTCCATTGAGTTTAAATATGATTAAATGAATTGAAACAAGGACAAAATGATTGGATAATTGACATTCATAACCATGAAGAATTACCATATAAAGATAGTATATAGAATTGTCACACACGATCTGTTCATCTTGTATTGGTGGCTGGTGATTCAAAGAGGTGTAGACTTCTTCACTCGGCTATTAAAATATTTTATATTTTTATTTCCTAATTCCCTTATTTACCAAAAGAAAATTATATTTGAGGAAATAAAGAATGTTTACATTATCTATAAAGGAAAAAGGAATCCAGAGTATTTAAACGATTTTCCGTTACAATGTGGTATTTCTTGAATTAGAATTGTACATTTTTTATGTTCCATGATGATAATAATTTCAAACCAATTTCCACGTAAATTTTATTCTTTCAACATATGCATAATGTCGAGAGGATTCAATTTTTTAACGGATTTATGCATCAAAAAATATTGGCCAGATTTAAATGTATAGGTTCGCTAATCAAACAAGATAAAAGAAAAAACTATGGTTTTATTCTTGAAATAAAAGTTATTAACGGTTTAAAGGTAATAAGTAGTAGGTTGGTTCATTTACCAGAATGATCAACGACAATTAGCACTAAATAATAATAAGGACAAGAATTTACCGACTAGGGGATTCAACACGAATGTTACACACCAAGATTTCCCCTCCGTTAAAATTCATAAATTCAACACTTTATATAACAAAATAATGTTTTACTTTGTAAACTTTTCAAATAAAATAAATACACTTTTTGATCCAAGAATTTTGGCTCCCCAAGGTGAAAGAGAAGTAGCGTGAAGATTTTTTACGTCTAAAGTTTTATTTCATTGACCTTTTTCAAAGAAGTGTTTTTCATTTTAATTATAAATTAAGTTTTTTTTGCTAATACCTCTTAAATGATGTGTTGGACTTCAAGTGTTGCAACAACAAAGGTACTATGGGCTCCAAATCTGCACAAGAGTTAGTTAGGTTTTGATGAGAGATTTGTTCTTTTTATTACATTATTATTATTTACTAATCTACATTATATTTAAAATATAAGGAAGGGTTAAGGAGCAGAAATAAAGATCTTTTGAGTGATATAATTAGAATTGTTAGCTTATTTCATTTTATAAATTCATTTGAAATAATACATAATACAGATTTCTAACATTGTATTTAAAATGAATCTATGGTTGAATTATTGTTATGCGAGATATATTAATGATAATTTTTATTGTATATAATAATAACATTGTGTCAATATTTATTTGTCTTCTTCAAATAATAGATCTAGAATCATTGTTATGCGACCATCAAAAAAAATCAACATCAATTAACTGATGATAATAGGTAATGATGCTATGAATGATAATTCTTATTGTATAATAATACAGTCGAACCTTGTCATAACGAATTTTTGTTACAACGAATTTTGAAAAAAAATTTTTTTTTTAATAAAAAACTTTTGTTATATCGAATTTATTAATAGAATCTTGTTACAACGAACAACGAATTTTTGGTAAAATTTTGATATTAATATTAATATAGTTACTAATCGCGTTACAACGAATTCACGTGATAAACAATCGACAAAAATGTGTTACGATTAAAAAAATCATACAATCCATTATTGTAAAACGTTGAAAGACTGCATCATAATTTAAAAATTATAATAAAATATATATTATTTAAAAATTGTAATAAAACATATGATTTAATATTTTTACAAAATTCTAAAAGGTATAAATACAAGTCTTGTTGTTTGGATGGTTATGTATTAAAAAAAAATTATTTATAAAATAAAGTTTAATTGAAAAAATGTCACAAACATCATCATCTAAAAAGCGAAACTTTATTACAGCTGAACAAAAAAAAGAAATATGCTTATTAAAAAGAAATAAACCTCAACCAAAGAATATTAATTAGCAGCACAGTATGGGATTAGTCCAGGTCAAATATGCGATATATTAAAAGAGCCTGAAAGATGGCTTAATACCAACCCAAATTCCCATCAATCAAAATTAAAAAGAGCACATACTCTACCTGCTGCTAAGATTGATGAACCGTTGATATTATGAATTGAAAAAGCTCTTGGATGTAATTTGACAACAATCACTGGTTCCATTATACAACAAAAGGCTTTAATGTTTGCAGAATTATTAGAAATAAGTAACTTTAAAGCATCATCTGGTTGGCTCCATAATTTTAAGCAAAGATACTCGATTCAGGGATATAATAAACATGGAGAATCTCAGAGTGCTCCCATAGAACAAATCCCTCAAATGAGAGTAGAGTTAAGGAATATTCTTAAAGATTATAAATCAGAAGATATTTTCAACTGTGATGAAACTGGTCTCTTTTGGAAGTTGGAACCAAATTGCAGATTATCAACAGGCCCTATTTCAGGCATAAAGCATGACAAAAATAGAGTAACAATATTGTTAACATGCAATTCTATTGGAACAGAAAAATTAAAACCTTTATTTATTCATAAATTTCAGACACCAAGACCATTAAAGGGAATTGATAAAAACACATTACCTGTTGATTATTATTGGAACAGTAAGGCATGGATGCAACTTACAATATGGAATGATTATCTAAAAAAATTGAATAATAAAATGCATTATGAAAATAGAAATATATTATTACTTGTCAATAATGCTCCAACTCATAATTTAATGGATAATTTAGAGTTAATGAATGTAAAAATCCATTACCTTCCTCCAAATACAACTGCACATCTACAACCATGTGATGCAGGAATAATTCATAGTTTCAAGGTTTGCAAATTTCTTAGTTTGAATATTAATACTAAATCACATTAATGTTAATAAATTATTTAAAATCTACGGGCAAATTATAGAAAATTGTTACTTAAAAAAAAATTAAAAATTATGGTTTAGCACAAACTGGTACAGATCCAAAGCCAATTGACATCAAAAAAGCAATAAATTATGTTGCTAGGGCCTGGAATAGTGTTATGCCAACAATCATTTTTAATTGTTGGAAAAAAACAGGAATTATTCCTTTATCAAATGAGGAATTATCTAATGAAGAAATAGAAAATTCTATAAATATAATAGAAAATATTTCAATGATCAAAATAATGAAATCAGAACCTTGATCAATGAATTACCTTTTTCTTCACCATTAGCAGCAGAAGAATATATTTCAATTGATGATGGGGTGGAAGACAATGAAATAATAACAGAAGAAGAAATTATTGCTTCATTTATTCCAGCAGCAGAAGAAGGAACTGGTGAAAGTGGTACATCCACATCTATTTCAATTAATGATGCTGCTGCTGCCCTTGAAATGGTGTATGATTTTCTTCAACAAGGTGATATTGAAATAGGTTATGATGAATCTAAAATTCTTAAATCATCAAAAAGAAAGTTGGGTATATTAAGAATCAAAAACCAAACACAAACTAGTATTAAATCATTTTTCAAATAAATAATCTTTACATTTGTTATTATCATATTTATGTATTATATTATTATATTTATTTTTGTAATAAAGAACAATTTTTTCTTTAAAAAAAAAAATTCACATAAAAAATCGTCGATCCTGATCGCCACAACGAACTTTTGTCATAACGAATGTGTGGGACTGACAACCTAAATTCGTTATGACAAGGTTAGACTGTAATAACATTATGAGATCTATGGTTAAACGAATCATTGTTACGCGTATTATTAATGATAATTCTTATTGTATATAATAATACCATTGTGAGATCTATGGTTAAACGAATTGTTGTTGCGCGTACTATTAATGATAATTCTTATTGTATATAATAATAACATTGTGAGATCTATGGTTAAACGAATTGTTGTTACGTATACTATTAATGATAATTCTTATTGCATATAGAAATAAACATTACAATTATAAAACCTACATTAAAAATTTTTTTCCTGATGTTGATCATTATGAAAAAGAGAAAAGAAAATTTTTTCAACGTTTCTTCATAAAGTTCAACGTTTTTCTTTTTTGATTAGATTATATAGTATTATTAAAAATATGTAAATATAAAAATAAAATGAGTTATTATAACCTGACTATAACCTAAATTCCCCTTTCTAGTCATATTTTATTCTTTTACAATCTGATCCTCGCATATTTTAAAAAAGAGAATTTTTCAAGTTGGAAATTTTTTTTTGGAGTCACATTTGTACAAAAATTTTTTGTTCACTGGGTATTTTATTTTCAATCATTTAACGTTTCGTGTTGAACCCCATCCATCCCCTAATCAATTGTTATGAAAAATCACACGACTACATCTAAGTCTGGTTGTGTGATTCTAATATGAATGCCTGAGAAATTGTAGCATCAGAAGAACGTTGTGGACTTGTACTTCTCCTAATCATACAATGCCAATTTTCAACATAGTAATCACTGAAATTGACAAAATAAGATTGGATTGTTTCAAGAAATGAGTGTTTGTTGTCCTTCCAATAAAAATAATCAGAGAAAAGCTAATGTAATTTTCCCTCCCATCTTAAGGCAAATGTCCATAATCTGAAAATCGTGTCTACATACTGGTTACAAGATCCTGATTGAAAGATTATGCTGTATACATCTAGAGCAAATTATCTAAAAGATCTATTAATGTTTGATATTCAATATCTTTACAAACTGGTCCAAATTTTTTAATATTTGCGCTAATATTTTGTTTTGTCCAAAAATTTATTTAAACATTTTTTCAAAAAACTCCAATGAACTAATATAATATGTTCTTTCATATTTAATGATACATGTAACGGACCAAGAATTGGGACAAAATTATTTACAATGTCAGGTATCTCTGGTGATGTATCTTGACCTTCTTTTTGTTTATAAATCAAAGTTATTGCTTTTCTTATAAATAACTGGCCAGCAACAATTGGTAATCATCAATGTTGAAACAAAGTAATTTATGTTTATTTTCTTCAAAGTATTGATACATTTTTTTCAAATGATCATATGCTATTTTTCTTTTATATCTCTCCTAAGGTTGTGGGCGAAACTCCACCAGAAATCAATTCGACAGGTTACACATTAATTGTTTGTTAGAGTTTCAGCCGAGTTTTCACATTTGGGGGTTTTGTCAATTGTCAGAGTTTTGACAAGGTATATACTAATTGTTCATTAGAGTTTTGACAGTCACTAAGAGGTTTCGGCAAGCAACCTTAATCTCTCCACTGTTTTATAAGACACTGAAATACCAAGTCTTGACATTATATCAATAGCTTCAGAAGTTGTACCAAATGAATATAAGTAAAGTCCAATTTCTAATTGAAGAGAATTATTAAGTTGATTTCCTAGACAGATAATAAATAATAGAACCCAGCAAGAGATTTTTTGCAATTTTCTATATTACTATCAGACATATTGGATGGAAGAAAAACATCAATCAATTCATCAAAAAATCCTTCCAATTGTGGTTCATTTTCTTCCATCATATTCTGGAATAAAGCTCCTCACGAGCTGGCTTGTGAGCTGACTCATGCGGAGCCTTATTCTGGAACTTTTTAGGGTCCAATTCTATTTTCAATTGTAATTAATTGCCCTTGTATTTTATACAAAGTTTTTGACAACAGTTTAATTTTTTCTTTTAATTGATTTAAATTTCTAATATTAATTTTTTCATATTCTCTTATTTTTTTTTTTTTTTTGGCATTTCATTTATTTTATTTATTAAAAGGTCAAAATCTTTAGATAAAGATACCTTGTCATCATAATATTTGACGTTTATATTAGACCAATTATCAAAATTAAATTCATTATTATTATTTGAATTTTCCAAAAAATGAGATGATCCAAATTCTGTATAGCCATTATCATCTTCAATATGAGCTATACCAAATTCATCTAATTTTCTTTCCTATTTTTATTTCTATTTCTATCTGCTTCTACAATTGATAAATATGATGGTAATTATAATTTTGAAATGTATAGCTTTTCTTTTAGAGCATATTCAGCAAATCTCTTAAATTTATATTTATCAGGATCATTTTATCACAACTTAAGATGGGAACTACAATTAGCTGCAATTCAATTTTCATATGCTGCAATTAATTGAGGAGCCATCTTTAATCCCAACCTCTAAATTTGCATGGACCATTATTTGCATTCATTTTGGAAATTAAAATTTGATATTAAAATTTTATTGATTTAACTTCAAATACAAGTCCTATATATAAAATTAAAAACAAATGAACTGGCCAAATGTTTTTTTTGTGATCTCTGATCAGTCGTGATTATTTTTAATTTTTTGCAACTAATTAGAAATTTGTTTTATGTGATATTTCAGATATGATTGTCTCAAAATCTAAACAATGAAATTCTATAGTTGGCTCAGTCTAAAGACCTCCTAAATTTTGGGCAAATTTAAAAGTATAGAAGTCACTTTCTGTTCTACCTTTTAAAAAAATAGCTCTATTAGTTGATAGAATATGTCTTTGGTTTTAATGTAGTAGGGTTCTATTCTTTTTTAAAACATGTACTTTACTATGCTCACAAGGAATTTGTCCACATGATAATTTCTAAATTTAGGAAAAATATTATCAAATTTAGACTAGCTATTGACTATCGTATCTAAATTGGGCAGAAGAAAACTAAAATCACATGAAGTCCTATTTTTTGAAAAATTCTATTACATTTTTGAATGAATTACAAAATTGCTATTTTGAAATTTGGCCACATGGTGCAGCAATAGGGGGTCTTTAGACCTAGCCAATCATATAATATAAAAATAGGAATGATGTGTTGATCGTCATGTGACTGCCATAGTAAGTTGATTTGGTTTGATCGGTAAATTGGGGACCTCTCTATCAATCCTCATTTTACTATCTCATAATATCATTCTTAAAGACTTGCAAAATTAAAAATGGCTATTAAAATGGGTTGCAGCAATATTACCTCTAATGTCAAGCGGACAAGATAAATTAGGTAATGAAAATTTAAATTGTATTTTAGTTTCATCTAAGGTTGTGGGTGAAACCTCCTTAGTAATTGCTGAAACCACAGCAAAACTATATTAAATCTTATCAAAAATCCTGTTGAAACTATGCCGAAATGGCAAAACCTCAAAATGCAAAACTCTGCCAAAACTCTAATAAACAATTAATGTGTAACCTGCCAAAACCCTGCTGATTGATTTCTGGATGAGTTTTGGCAAGCAACCTTAATGACACCTATTATTTATGTTTTGCTAGATACATAGTGAGCCCTTTTTCTTTAACGCTTCATAATGAAGGTTGCAGCAAGGTCAGAACAAGACTTGCTATATAAGATGTTTTACCACATACTGATGAGAAAGATCGCCCCAAGATATAACAAAGCAATAAATTCACTTAGAAATAGATACCTAAAAAATGCCATTTCAGAGGCATATGCAGCAATCTTAAGGTTGCTTTTACCTGATCTTGAGAATCAAAATTTATCTGATATCATGTTTCGTCAGCTGGCATTACATTACCCTCTACTTGATACAATCACTTCAGAATGAGTCATATGGTATTTACAACACCCTGTACAACATTTGGGAAAATCATCAGATGAAAGGGGAGATATCCCTACTTCTTTTGATGAATTTTGGAAGTCCTTCATGACAAGACAAATCATTAGTCTAAAAAAATACTTATTGATAGCCCTTACTGATGTTGCCACCCAGAACATTGGTGGAAAGACCATACACTCATTCTTGAAAGATACAAGACTAGCTACAGAAAATAAATGCCATTGCCTTCATCAGCAATACCTTCCCCTGGGTTCACAATAATAATTCAACACATATAACGCCCCTATCTTTTTCTTTTTGGTATTGGCATGTTGACATTAATGTGGCTCACATCACCAATCCTTTTTTTTATAGAACTTGCTTTCAATATCAGAATCACTAACTATGTTAAAAAAAAACTATTTAGATTAATTTATAAGAATCTAATTTTTATTTTTTATTAAATAATTGTTTATCATTGTTATATTGAAGCATTATTGTTTTCTCAAGTTGTATTTGTAATTGAATTTTTATCATTGTGGAAAATTCTATTTCCCGAGTATCTTGTTCAATTTTTTGTTGTATCAACAAAAATAATTAGTAATGATCAGTGGAGTGCATATTACTACTTTATGCAAAGCTAAGGTCATTTTTTTCTATTAAATGCTTGTTACCAAAGGACTTTGTTAGTAGGATACTAACATTTAATTTGAATATTGTAATAATATCTCAATAAATAAAATTCAAAGTTCACCTTGTTTCTGCTAGTTTCTATTTGTAAATTCATAATGCAAATTCTTATTTGAATTATTCATAATACACACAACTCGATCTTAATTCAAATTATTTATTTTATTTGAGTTATTTGTTTTTTTCGAATTATTCATTTTATTCAAATAGTAACCCTAGTTCTGGTCATGCACAAGGTTTTCTTTCCAGCTGCACATGTAATATTATTGCAGGTGAATTCTGGCCAAGTGTCTCTCAGTTTTCTTTCCAGCTTCATATGCTCTAAAAAAAAAAATAGAAATACACCACTTGAGGCATCACTACAAGCAATGTAGTGAAATTAAAAGGGTTCCTAAAGGTTGGCCAAACCATCAATCATCAGAAAGGATTATGAATTAACCCGCAGCTTCATTAATCAATTACAGTTTTTATTATCAAATGGATATTATTAAAAATTGAAGGAAATTTAAGTGTATTTATACTTCTTAAAGTATTACAAACAACAAGACTTTTTACATGATTTTGTCCAATAAAATATAATAAATAGAATGATTAATAATGAATGACTTATATTAATTACTAATATTACATGCCAAATGCATAATTGATGATGTCATGATATAAATTGAATTAATTGGCAACAATTGGGATCCAAGTTGGTCCTCAATTTACTATTACTATCTTCTATGGCATTTACTTGGATCATGTATATTATCATTTGCATATTCTCCCAAGCAAGCTGTGTTAAAGTCAGTTTTCTCTCTTAAAATTCTCTCCAACATTAGGAAGTTTTTCCTACATATGATTTACAGTCAAACATCATCACAACGGATCTCGCCGCAGAGAATTTCTTGTTACAATGACATAACGGATTTTATTAATAAATTTGTTCCAGATTTTTGATGGAAGCCTATATGGCTACTAGTCTCATAGCGGATCCATGTTACATATAAAATGAATTAAAATAAATTGTACAACCCATGATTAATAAAAATTCGCAAGTTCCTAAAATAAAATAAATAGTAAGATTCCGATGATCTAGAACCGCTGCAGAAATAACATGATATTTTATATGTAAAATCTAAACAAATGTTATTGGTAAATCATGCAATGTTTTATTGAAAAAATTAAAAAAAGATTTTTGTTTTTTTTATATGAAGAAAACTTGGCGAGAGCTTTATTAAATGTATTATATGTATTTTTAACTGCTTTACAAGCCTACCAAAAAAATATTCAATAGTAATCATAAAGTTACCGGAAAAATGGGCGCCTAGATTTAACATTCCACGCCTCTAAAGTTACTGATTCGAAATTCTGCAATTTTAATCGTTGTCCCGTGTGACATTTTATTTCAAAAAAATTTTTTTAATACAAACTTTATTTTTTAAATTATTAAAAAATGAATAAATACTATTAATTAATTCCTGATGATTTATTAAAAGATAATAGAAATTCTTAAAAATTATATAGGTCATTGTTCTCTATCTTTCCCTTTCCCTTTCCCCTTCTTTTTTGTAAAACAAGGTCGGGCTCCTCTGGTAAAATCAACTATTTTTTTGTCATCGGAACTTGGAATTTGTGGTACAGGTGATGGTTTCTCAATTGAATTTCTTGGTGAGTTTCCAATTAAAGGTTTTGGAGGAAGTGGTGGTGGATAACTGTTTGGTTGAACATAAACTTCATCTGATTCTATCCCAGTTAAGGGAAAATAACAAATACCCATGATATAATCATTTGGATAATCACCATCCCATTGATGGTTCATAACTATTTTTGCATTATTTTTTAACCAGTGTACTTCACATTTTGGTTCTTGAATTAACAAACGAAATTTAAATATTCTAACAATATCTTTGATAAGATTTTCTGCTATATTTTCTGCAGTTTTTCTTTTATCATCATCTTTGATATAACGATATCCTGCCATCAATTGATTGAGTTCTAGTGCTGTGGATGATATGAATGGATGTACATTTTTATTTTCATTTTCATAAATCTCTGAAAATCCAAATTCACCCAATATACCATAAACTTGTTGACGTATTTTTGTTGAAATATCATCAACCATATTATTATTTTGCTTAAAACGACTATTATAAAATTTATCAAGTAAATCTATTAATTTATTTGTATAATATATAATATATTTTTCTTGATTATTAGGACTATTGGGATCATCATCATCTTTAATTTCAAGATAGTCATTTACAAATTTAAAACCATTTTCTAAAACATAACGTTGTAAAACTGCTTTCATCAAAATTTTATCTGTTAGATTTTGAGTATTTAAATTATATTTTCCATATAATCCTTGAATTTTATCATTATCAATTTTTATATCACCTTTTAAAGTAGTAACATAGTCCTTAATTTTACACTGTAAAGAATTTATATCAATTGAAAGTTGAACTGTGTCCTCCTCACTTGAACAATTATTCGACAGACCATCACCTAAAATAGGCTGATTAAATAAATTTGGATTTTCTAATCTTCTGTTTAATCTCTCTATAGCTTCAATCAAAACTCTGTTGGAATTGTCTGCTTCTGCCTTCAAACCTGCAATTATATTATTGTAAAATGCCTCAACTTCCTGTTTGTATTTAGCCATATTGTTGTTATATTGTATTTCCATATTTTTAATTTTTTCATTGTACTTTGGCTCGATTTCATGTTGGTATCTGATCAACTCATTTTTATATGTAAAGTTTTCTGTCTCCAAAGTTCCGATTTTCTCTTTGTACTGGACTATTTCTTTATCTAAGCTAGAAATTTTTTTGTTTAATTTTTGATTTTCCAGATTCAACTTGTTATAATTCTCTTCCAAGTTTTCCATCAATCCTTTGAAGTCACTACGACGAGAAGGATTTTGTTCTAGACAAGTTATTTAGGTTTTATATGTAACTTTTTCAATTAACATAACTTTTTTGAGATACATTCCAAATGTGCAAAATTATAAAAATCCTTACCATTTGAAATTCGAGGTTGAGACATCATTCAATATATTAAATAACTTTTTAATAAAAAAAAAAATAAAATAAAAAAGTTCGAATTATAAATTTACTATGAACGATATTAATATATACTAATACGTGAGTGTTCAAACTTTTTTTCTGATTTACTTATTGTTTTCTTGCTTATTTTGGTAATTTTTGGTAATATATACACGAACACGAATGTTATTTTCATGTAACACAAGATAAAAAAATTTATCAATATTAATATTAATAAAAATGTCAACTCAAGAAAGTTTAGATAAGAATATAGTCAATAACAACAATAATAAAAATTACAATAATATTGATAAAGATGATAGTGGAGATGATGCTAATAATAATGAACTTGATCAAACTTCAAGAGCCTCTTCTGCGATGATATCCAAATTTATTATTTACTCATTTTTATCAGGAACGTTTGCAGCATTAGCATCAGTTTTTGGCAAACTTTCTACTGATACCAAGACTTTGAAAATTTTATGTAGCAATATAATGAATAACAAATATTATAATAATTATTATGTTCATTTTAAAAATGTTTTAATAGACTTTTTATTATGGGATTGTACAATGCTCTTAAGCGATGATAATGGAGATGATGACGATGATGATAACATTGATACAAATTCATCATCTCGCTTTGTAAGGGATTTTATATGTGTGTATGTGTATATATATATATATTAAAAATTTTTTCTTTAACTCCATTATACTTTTTTTTTATTAAAAAAGAAAAGAAATTATATATTCCCAGTCATTTTCTTTGGTCTGATATTTCTATGCAATGCATTGATGTGGGCATTTTTTACTAAAGCTTTAATCAAATCATCATCATCTCTTCAAGTCACTGTGTTGAATAGTACAACTAATTTTTGTATGACGGTTAGTTAGTTAGTTAATCAGTTAATGGAGTAATTAGATTAATTGTTTAGCTGGTTTTGTCCATTGATTATTTTTAATTTTAATCCCTTTTAGGCAATTTTGGGGTATTTAATATTTGGTGAATTGCTTAATTTACAATGGTGGCTTGGAGCAAGTTTAATTGTGATAGGCACAGCAATTGTGTTGATGAACAATCACAGTGATAATAGTAACAGCGACAATAATAATGACAATATTGACAATGTTGTGAGATCGATGAAGTAACAACTCATTGTTAAGAAATACAAGGCAATTTTTATACTTATTTAATGATATGTGGATAATAACATACAAATTTGCTGGATTATTTTTAATATTCATTTAATAATATAAAAAAAAACGAATATATTATTATTCATTATCTTCTTCAGGATCTTCCCATATTGTAAAAGGAATTTTTATTGTCTTTTGTTGTTCAATAGTGAATATATTATCATTGAAATGATTTGTAGAAGGAGTTGTTGTGGTAGTAGTGGTAGATGGGAATGGCCAAGCAACATTTCTAAAGGTGTTGTTTTCATCATCAGGTACCGAATCTGGTGTCAATGTAAGATTATCATCACTTGAATCATCGTCATATATCGTGTTGTTATATTGAACTCTGTCATCCATGTTAAACACTTTTCGAACAAAAACAAAGTTAGATCGTCCTTCTGGATTCCACCATGTATTTTTAGATTGGACTTGTTCAAACGAGCCATTTGTTGGATTATTATTGTTGTTGTTGTTGTTATTACTACTACTACTAATATTATTATCATGACTAGTACTAGTAATAATATTATTATCATTACTACTATTATTATTACCTGTACTGGTACTATCATTTTTATTAATATTATTGCTTCTATTATTACTATAATTATAACTTTTAGATTTATAATTAGTTGGCTCATATTTTTTCATGATATCAGCCATTTCATCCGCCTCGTATTCAAGTATTTCAAAAGCTGCATTAGGGTGTGCTTTGGATATAGGATAATAATCCAAAACATTGGACACTTGTAGAAAATTAAAAGTTGATTTAGTTCCATCATGACCGTCATTAATATTATCATGACGTCTTTTTAATTTTTTGCTTGTAGAAGAAATTAAATCTTCGCCGAATATTGAGGAAGGTGAATAATTTTCCTTTTCTTCTTGATTAACCACCACACCATTATCGCTAACCTCATCTTCCAAATCAAAATCTTTATCAACGACAAGCGAAGGATAATTGGACAAATCGTCATCTAAACTAGTAAGTTGATATGAAGGGGGTAAATTAGAAAAATCATTATTACTAAAAGTTAATTTTGTAGGTGTTGTTGAAAAAAAACGAGTATTTCTATTGAAATGCTTGTAAAAACTCTTTGAACTGCTCATAACGCGTAAATTGGTGAGAACCACGCGTAAAATGGGAATTATAATAATAATTACAAAAATTTATTTAACCCCTAAATACAACACGTTTTATTTTAATAATTTGGAAATGAAAAAAAAAAATTTATATTTATGAAAAATAATTTGATGAATCAATTGACCAAATAATGTGTTTGTCTTTTATGAAGTGAAAATGCCATATAAGACTCGCAATTCGCAAATCTTGCATTTAATGAAGGATCTTGGAATAACTTGTCCTGTTGTTGAAGTAAATTGTATGGTAACTGGTTCGCCAATACCATTAAATTTGATGGGACTAAAAAAAGGACCAAAATTATTGATTGTATTAAGGTTATTGATATGATTATAAATATTCTTGTTATTGCTAAATCCTGTTGCATTGATATTTGGAATTCTGTCTTTGATTGCTCGTCTGATTATTACGTTGTTCTTCTTTATTTCGTGAACGTTATTGTCTTTTGTTTTGCACACTATTGCGTGTAACATGTCTATTTCATCCTGTATACATTTCATATTATGAACGTCTACTAAATGAATACCTATTATTATTAACCTCTTTACAGCTAGGACAAATGATTAGAACTGGGTGATAGGTTTCTGGATGATTGGAATCTATATGATTGTTGAAAAAGGTGTATCACACACTTTGTAAGGAAATTGCGGACATACTATTTCAATGATATCATTAAGTTTCTTTGTCTCTCAAATCTAATAATAATGCCATTTTATTCTTTTAATTACTATTATTTTCTAATATTGTTTTCTTCTTTTATGTCTGAAATTTGAATATTATTGCGAAATGTAATGCCCGGTTTGGGATCAATAAAATTTCTCAAGTAGGGTTTCTATTCGAATCATATCAGCCGATTTGGTTTCTGGGCCTTTTTTAAACCTTATGTCTTATTGTGTCTTGATGTTAAACACGAGTATTTTTAATGTGTAAACTGGTCGGTAGAATGATAATTACCCTAAAAAAATTTATCTACTCCGCTAAAAAAACTAATCTACTATTCATCAACCCGTCAAACCAATGGCCCCACCTCAAAACCAATGGGTTTTTGCTAGTATAAAGTATTCATAACATTATGATCATACCGTGCTGGATTTGGGGTTCAAACAAAATCAGCGCATATGGTTATCATGATTCATTAAAATAATTTTTGATTTTTACTCGATTTTACACAAACATTATTATATTATTATATTATCCTTTATATCCATAATGAAGAAAGCTACGTTAAACAACGAACAACGTCATCAAATTTGTTTAAAAAAGCAAAATGATCCCAAAAAGAATTGATTGGTCGTTGTGAACAAGAATCCGGAGTAAAAATTGATCAAGCAACAATTTCAAGAACATTAAAGTATTCATCCGAATTTTAAGTAATGAAACAAAACCACTACAGAAAAAATCTCGTAATATGAAATATCCCGAACTTGAACATGCGAAAAAGATTTTATTCTGTCTATGAAGCAAAGCAATATTAAAGATTTTTTTTTGAATAAAAAATAAAAATTATTGTCATTGATCTTTCCTTTTATAGTATGAATATGCATATTTTCGTTAGTAGAAACATGATGCATACGCACGTTTACGTTATGCAAATAGTTCATAAGTCCCGATATGGGACTGAGCTACCTTTATGCAAATGAACAGATGCAAATAGACAGGTGTGCAACTGTGTAATTATTATTATAAATGTTACTATTATATTTTCAATGATATGGAGCTTTATTTATTATGATTGTAACAAGACAAACTTCATTATATACTTATATAGAGAGTTAATATTAAAATTCATTATATCAAGAGCAATATATCTATAATGAAATGGTAAATTTTCTAACTTCATTATATAGTACGATTCACTATATAATAGGTTCACTATATCCAGCGTCGACTGTATTAATATTATTTGCTTTTCTGGGTGTAATTAACTCTAAGCTAGCTAATTGCGTCTTACAACAAAGAAAATATTTACAAGCAAGTTCAATAATTATTTACTTAATATTAACCAGAGAACCTGGCTATGTAGATCAATCACAAGTAGTAATTATTTTTATATATACCAAATCGCCAAAATCAAGTGATAACAATAATAGTAATAGTAATATGTTGTTATACATATTTATGAGAAAAATAAAATAAGCATGCGTGTGAAAATGGTTAACTAAACAAACAAATTATTTTCAACTGGCATAGTAAACGTTCCAGCAAAGGCTCTCTTGGCTATATGCTCATTCGAATGAATAGCTTGAATATCTTCCAGGAATTCATTTTCCAAGAATTATGTCATTCGACTCCTTTACAATCAGCTAGACATTATAAGAAAAATGAACCTTAACTTTCTATATTAATAGGCAAGTCAAAGATACTACCGTTTCCTAAATATTAAACAATAAAAGCTTATTGATCTCTTCTATGGATTCTGTAACTTTTTCCTAATGATCATAATGTGCCTACAAGGCGAATACATTCTTACTATTTGTTGGTTGAATAAATAGATAATTAATAATAAAATATATAACCCAAAAGTATGTAATCATAATAATAATGAATCAATCACTTTACTCAGATGTAAACCTCCATATATCTGTAATTTATTTACAATATTAGATAACCTACAGGGTGGCGGGTATTGTCAATCTTTTTGATAACTTCATAAACATATTTTTAAGAACTTTTTTAAATTTTTCTTTCATTTAATTTTCGAAACAAGTTTTTACGCTTTGGTGATTATTTACTGCACGTTCTGATCTCGGATGTTGTGAAATAGTGATTACGAGAAGACAGGTGATATACCTTATAATTTTCAAACCCAGGTACATTTCCGATGACGGGGTCTCTAAGGGACCTCCACAAATTGACATCAAACCAATTTCTTGGGTGTTCTTTTAATAGTGCATTTTGAGGACTTCCCAAAACAATAAGCTGTTCAAATAGAATTTACTCGAGTACTCTTTATCATAAACAAAAATAATCCATACATACTCAGAAAATCATGACTTCATATATTTGTCTGATAGAATGTTTTATGTAATCGTAAACAAAAATATCTCTCTCTAATATGCATATCATTTTCTTGAAGATAAGACATATCAAGCTTTTTTCTTGGGTTGGATATATCAGTCTAAAAATCTTTAACGTGGCTTTTCTTTTCTCTTCACCCTTAAGTATCAAGAAGTCTGGATGAAGCTTCTTCTCTGTGGTCTGACAAATTTCGGGCCATAACAATCTCATATTTTTCACTTAAAATTGCTAACAGGTCTTTGATAAGTTTGTCAATAACTAAAGCTTGATTTATCTCATTTCCTTCAGTGACAATTCTAAAGCAACTTCAGCCAGCAAAAGAAGTTGAGGGAGTTGTGACAAAGTTACCATCCAAATATTTTCTATTTCATTTTTTACCATCTAATTGATATTGCACATTTGAACATAATTTTTTCTGACAGGTTCAACGAGTGACTTTTTAAGGAAATTCTCCAACTTTTAAAATAGGGGACTTGATCAAATGGTATACTGAGTGCTTTGCTAAGACGTTCAGAATCATCAATGTACATTCGTTTTGATCATATTTCTGATACTGGCTCACCTAGAGAGTGTTTATAAATATGGAAGATAGTGGAACCAATAGAAAAAAAGCCAATATTGCAAACAATATACTAAATGTTCTCTCAATATACAAGCATTCTAGCTATTATAGTTTCTCTGACCATTAAATCAATACACTGCTTTGATCCTCTTTTTCCTTATCTCTAATCTACCACAAAATATCAACCGTAATCTGTTCCATATTCCCTAATACATATTTTTTGTAAATAAGCTTGTCTTCTCTAGTAAAAGACCCTTTTCTTTTTCGCATCTAAATGATTTCTTGACGTGTTAAATCACGTTCTTGATCTCCTTGAGGATGCCGCCTTTATAAAAAATTGAGTTTCACCAGTTCCAAAGCTACCCTACTTTATTATTATGACCCCCGAAATTTATTTATTATGTTACAAAACCAAATTATCATTTAGAAAAAATTTTCCATTGAAAAACAAAACTTTTATAGTAAAAAAATTAATGGATATATTTGGACTTTGTTTGCCATTAGTTGACATAACAGCAAAGCTTGCAAGAGACGCTTATAAAACAGCTGAAGATGCACGTTATACCAAAAAAATATGTTTGATCTTAGCAGACAGATTAGAGATAGGATCGCGTGCTTTGTCTGATTTATATAGGCACAGGGATGAAAAGGACAAAGAAGAAAAATTTAAAAGTAGTAATTTCTATAACAGCCTTCAAAGTTACGTAAATGCGGCAACTGAAATCAAAAGATTTATTGATGAGGTTTCTAAATTGAGTGGAGCAATGAAATATATTAAATCAAGTTCTCATAAAGGGAAAGTTAATCAACTTGTAAAAAGGTATGATGAAGCTATTGCTGATTTAAAACTAGGAATAAGTCTTGATGAATTTAAAGAAATTCATGATTTACAAAATACAATGGAAACTGAATTTGAGAAAATGTCTTTGGTAAAATATAGATAAATAAATAAATAAACATTTATTTAATTTATTATTTATTATATGAATTTAATTCTAATTGTCACTTTTATTATCAATTATCATTATCTCCACTATTATTGTTATTTTAATATTAATAGGCTTTAGAAACAATTGAAGCCAGTTTGAATAATCATTCAAGTGATATGAAATTAATGATAGATACACTTGCATCAATGAGTAATAGTCATAAACAACCAATTGAAATTAAATCACTTGAAATTAAATCAATTGGTCAACATGACTTAAGAGATCCAGATCCAGAGCAAGTAGTAAAACGTGGAAAAGTTTTTAAAAAATTATTGAAAGGTTATGAACCAGTAGCATGTAAGCCATTTACAGATGAAGAATATAAAGAAGAAGACTTTCGTACTCGTTTAGCAATTTTAGGTAAATTGTTTTCATCAAACAGTATTGTAAAATTTCTTGGCACATCATGTGCTGATGGATTTAGAGTACTGGTATTTGAATGGGCTGAATATGGAAATTTAAAATCTTTTTATGAAAAATATGATATTAATTGGCAACAAAAACTAAAAATTGTTCATGATGTTTGTGCTGGGCTTGCTTTTCTACATGAATGTACAATTTTTCACCATGATGTTAGATGTGAAAACATTTTAGTGAGTAATTAATTTCTATTTTTATTTTTATTTTTAATTTGTTTAACATACAACAATATATATATTGTTAATATTAATCTTGAAAAAAAAATTTTTTAAAATTAAAAAGATTATGGATAATATTGGAAAAGCAAAAATTGCAAATTTTTCTCTAAGTAGAGAATATCATAATAAAAGTATACGAATTAAAGCTATAAATGAACTTATACCCTGGATGGCCCCTGAGAAACTCAAAGATCCTGATGGAGTCAGATACACTTTAAAATGTGAAATATTCAGGTAAAGGAATATATATATCCATATATTAATTTTGATTAAATTATTATTAGTTTAACTAATTACTCAAATTTGTTTAGTTTTGGTATGTTTGTCTGGGAACTATCATTTCAACAAGTTCCATATTTTCATATGCTTGATAATGATGGTGTAAAAATTACTCATTATATCTTGGAAGGTGGAAGAGAAAGTGTAAGGAAACTTAGTCGCTTTGATGATATTCAAAAATGTTTCAAAAACATAATAGTAAAAGGTAAATGAATGAATATTTATAAAGATCAACTTGAAACTATCATGTTGTAGTCCAATACAAGGTTGTAAATAGGCCAAATCCATTGTGACCAATGAGTTTTGATCTGGTCCATTGCCATTAATAAAATACTAAAAGTTGCACTAATGGATCCAATGGACCACCAATGGATTGTTATCACAGCCAAATAGTATCACATTTTTTTCTTTAAAAATTTTTTACTGCTGTGACAAATTCAAACATGCAGGTTTCTAATTTCACACATAATGGATATATATTTAATATAATTTTTCTTTTTAAATAGCTTGGAATCAAGAACCTTCATTACGACCAAATATGCCTACTTTTCTTACTCAATTAGCTACCTTATACAGAAATTATTATTATTCACCACACATTCTTCCTAAACCTAGAGTTAATAATTATAATGACAGTGGTATTGGCAAAGAAATTACTCCTTTACGTGATGATGATGATCTTTCATTAGATACATTGACTTTAGATGATGCTCCAAAAGTAACAATGACATTAGAAGATGGTATAAAACTTCACAAGGATAAAAATGATACCTCAAGAAAATTGGCATGGGAATGTTTCAAATATCATGCTGAGGTATTGAAAGATCCTAGAGCAATATATTGGAAAGGTTATTATTTGCTGGAAGGATATGGCGGAATTGAGAAAAATTCAGAAGAGGCATCTAGATGTTTCAAAGAAGCTGCAGACCAAGATATTTCTGATGCTCAAGTTCGCTATGCATTCTCTATATTAAATAAGGTCGGTGGTAATCCTTTAATGGCTTCTGAATTTATGAAATATATGGAAAAGGCTGCCTTCCATGAAAATCAAGTTGCTTTGTATAACATGGGTGATATTTATTACGAAGGGAAATTAAATTTACCAAGAAATCAAAAACAGGCAATAATTTATTATAAAAAGGCTGCTTTGAAAGGTCATGAAAAATCAATTAAGAAACTTCAAAGTTTAAATATAAGTATCTATGGTGATTAAATAATATAATAAATTTTTTATAATTATTTATTTTATATATTTGGATTCTATTTATTATTTATATTTATTTTATTCAATATTTATTTATTTATTTATATTTTACTTTACTTTTATATTTTAATTATATTTTGATAAATTGGTTTCTTTACATTGTATTCATTCTTATAAAGAAAGATATAAAGTATTTTGTCACTGCATGTTATAATTGTAATTTAAAAAATGATTTCGGTGGTACAAATCAAAGCTCAACACTAATGCCAATTTCTGATTTCCTTTATTTCAATTTTCGTAATAATCACTCAATTAACCATGAAAGAAATAAGGTACACAGTCAACCCAAACTCGTGCGGGACTTGGAGATAAATGCACACCCTATGTCCTGCATTACACAGCTTAATGCACCCGTGATTTCACGTGATCGCAGTGCATTAGTAATTCCGGTTACATGTAATACTGAAGGCCAAGTAAAAAAACTATAAGATCCAACATAGCAATTCATATTTCCAACACCCTACAGTAATATATATGTGAGTATCATACTAAAAAAGTCGTTTTTGAATGGTCATTTTTTTTATTTTCTTCAGTACGATACTCACTCGACCTTCAGTACCTTTCTACATACCCGATATTGGAGTATTTTTAAACAAGATTTTCCCTCAATGTAGCTCTCTTTTTGAAGATTCTAAAGGAGAAAATAAGGATCGACCTTTAGAGTTTATATTTACAGTAATTATGAAGATTGAGAATTTTATTCATCAAGTATGAAGCATTCATTAAATAATAATGAAGAAATGTTTTAGTGCTATTTATGATTTAAGTAGCAAATATATAAAGGCAATCAGTTGATTCAGATCCAATTTCTTGTTATTATGTTCAAACACAATAATTTATTTCCTTGATTAATTTTATGATCTAAAATATTTCTCTTGATTGTCACAAGTATGCAAAAATGATAAACCTATATATAAAGATAAATGAAAAATTATCTAGTTGCTAATGTAAAATGCATTCTAATGTTTTTTTTTTGTTCAATAGATTAATATAGATCTTGATTTAAATGCTATATAGAAGAAAACCTACCTCAAGATTTAAAAGCAATTATACATTGTTCATAATTATAATGGAAAAGACCACATCTTAGCACTTGTTCACTTCACTACTGATGTCATAACAGATGGTCTAAATATTTTGAAGGAGTTTGTGGCTCTACTAAATATATAGAAATAAATAAATGGAATTGATGTAGGAATTTTATCTTTTAGACATCCAATAGAAAAACTGAAACAAATAAAAAAGCTACAAAAGCTATATGTTCTCAGAACATGTATTAGTATTAGTATGGAAAATGTATTTCTGTGCATTATTTTTCATAGGGTACCTACGTGCCTAAGCCTTGGATAATTAACAACCTTAGTATACTACCCCTCTCTGAGATGGAATTGGGCGCGTCGAAAGCGCATTTCAAGGAATTAGGAATTATTCAAGTTACATTTGGGGGGTTATTGTTACCAAGAATTCCCAGCGAAAACCTTATTAATATTTTACTAATTGCTATTACATATTATCATTCCGGAGGTCAAATCACATGGTTTAAGATGCATTTTTTTCACTTCATCTATTACGAAAGTTGAGATTCTCTACACTTAATTCCGAATAGTCATTACGGATAAAGATTTTACTCATCCTATTTTTCCATCACTGATAGCATTAAAAAAGTAGATTCTTGGGGTTCTTTCTTTTCTTTTAAGGCGAGCATTGGTCTCTAAAATTTTTATTGGCATCATCCATTTGAGCTGTGTGTGCATTGAGAGATTTATCATAGTAATGCTTGAAGAGTAAGGATAGGAACTTTCCAAAGAAAAATAACATCTTGTGACTTTTTGATTTGTAATTTCATTACGAATTTCAACATTAGTAATTTTATTAAACATATCAAACAAATTCTCGAAGTTACCAACTGCAACTTCTCTAATTATAAAACTTGAACATATCAGATAAGTTTTTTCAACATATTTCTTCCTTTTTTTACTGGAAGATTTATCTGCAGGAGTAAGTTTATTAGAGGTTGGAATCGACTAAAATAGTTGACTAAACTTTTTTTTGAACAACTAATAATCGACTACTACTAATACTAATAGCATAGCAGTCAGTGTGCAAATCCTAAAAATTAAGGGGCAGGTCGTTTTGCCAGAAATTTTGGCTGATCAACATTGAAATTTTACTAATAAAAACTCGAATTGAATGTCTTCAGTCCCTTATTTTATACCCTTGTTTTGTATCAATTGTCACCAAAATTTCCACGTTGTTTTATTTTTCATGTTCTTTATTTTGTAAAAAATTTTCAAGTAAGGTTAATAAAAGAGCGGAAAAGAATCAAGGTCTCAAAGTTTTTTTTGTCTTTGTGTGACAATAGAAGTGCGAATGGGGATTCATGTCTTGCAAGTAAACTTGTAAAACTAGTGAAGTATTTAAATATTTTAAACATTACGATTATATTTAAAGAAATTTTAAATAATGAATAGTTTGACAAATAAATTTTTATTTTTATTTTTATTACATTTTTATTAGTTATATTAATTACACAGGAAGGATGTTCATTAATAGATACTTGTCATGTATTTATAATTGATTATTATACTCATTATTTGTGTTAATTATGTATTATATTATTAATTTGATTCTTTTATTATAGATATAAAGAATAATTAAATAGACTCGGGATAGAGATACTTGTAATTTATAATTCAATTAATATTCATATTAAAACTTTTGACTTTTTTGTTAAATCATTATTCTTAAATCTTTTGAAATTTCAGAATTAACTTTTTTTATTATGATAATATATTGAAGATAGAATTGACAAGATATGGCGATGACATAAAATTATGATGATGCTTACCAACCAACCTTTAGACACACCATCCAAATAATACCGATCAAGAATATAGATGTTAGTCATAACTTTTGATGGTGGTCGCAATAACCTTTGTGATTGTGATAACCTTTGTGATTGTGATAACCTTTGTGATCATGATAACCTTTGTGATCATGATAACCTTTGTGATTGTGATAACCTTTGTGATCCATAATAACCTTTGTGATCGTAATAACCTTTGTGATCGTAATAACCTTTGTGATCGTAATAACCTTTGTGATCATAATAACCTTTGTGATCATAATAACCTTTGTGATCGTTTTGCTTTCTTCTTTGAATTGTATATAATACAGACATATTTGTCATAAAAAAGATCAAGATGTGTAACTACATTAGAAGCTAAAATTACATTACATCTGTTATCCAAGGATAAATAAACATTAAACTATCTTACCTACTTTAAATATGAAAGCAGATCTAAGTTTTATATTAATATATATTTTTGAAAATTCCGTCAAGTGAGTCGTCTTTATGGTACTAATGAAGTCTAAAGAACAAGGTTCACTTTGGCTTATTGACTATTGTAATCAGCATAAAGCTGCCTTGTTGAAAAGAATCAACGTTTTTAGTGTAAATTTTCATGTGTATTTTAGCCCATTATTGTGAGTTCGAAGAGCAGCTTTATTTTAAATAAAAGATGCCAAAATATTTATTGAAGCTTCAAGAAAAATTTTTATATATATCATTTTTTTAATCTATTAAGAAGTTTATGTGTTATAAACGTTAAAAGAAATTCTTGGCATTCAAGCGAATGTTACACGCACCAATTAAAAAAAAGAGAAAGGATTTGCACACTGACTGTTAAATGGGAAATATTTTAAGAATAAAACAAGTAATAATCTACAATTCAGGTGTGATTTAGGGGTAGGGGGAATCACGTGATAAATCAATAGTAAACCCTAGGGGTTAGGGGGGTTCAATACGAATGTTACACACTATGATTTCGCAAAACCAAAACTGTCCTCCCTCGAAATTCATAAAATTCAAAATTTTATATAACAAAATAACGTTTTTACTTTGTAAACTTTTCAAATAAAATAAACACACTTTTTGATTCAAAAAATATTTGTTCCTTGAGGTAAAAGAGAAGTAGTGGTCAAGTTCTTTTTACGTCTAAGGTTTTGTTTATTTTTTTTTTTCAAAAAAAGTTTTTTTATTTAAGCCTTATTTTAATTAAACATTATGTTTTTTTGCTAACACCTTTTTAAATGATGTGTTGGACTTCAAGTGTTGCAACAACAAAGGTACTGTGGGCACCAAGTCTGCCCAAACACAAGAGTTAGTTAGGTTTTGATGATAGATTTGTTCTTTTTATTACATTATTATTATTATTTACTGATCTACATTATATTTAAAATAGAAGGAGGGGTTAATGAGCAGAAATAAAGATCTTTGAATAATATAATTAGAATTGTTAGTTTATTTCATTTTATACATTCACTTAAAATAATACAGATTTCTAACATTCTATTTAAAATGAATCTATGGTTGAATTATTATTACGCGAGGTATTATTACTATACTCCTATTGTATATTAATGATAATTTTTATATATAATAATAACATTGTGTTAATATTTATTTGTCTTCTTCAAAAAATAGATCTAGAATTATTGTTATGTGACCATCAAAAAAAATCAACATCAATTAACTGATGGTAGTAGGTAATGATACTACTGCTATGAATGATAATTCTTATTGTATATAATAATAAAATTATGAGATCTATGGTTAAACTAAATCATTGTTACGCGTACGATTAATGATAATTCTTATTGTATATTAATATAATAATAACATTGTGAGATCTATGGTTACGCGTACTACTTATTGTATATAATAATACCATTATGAGATCTATGGTTAAACGAATTGTTGTTACGCGTACTATTAATGATAATTCTTATTGTATATAATAATACCCTTGTGAGATCTACGGTTAAACGAATTGTTGTTGCACGTACTTATTAATGATAATTATTATTGTATATAATAATACCATTGTGAGATCTATGGTTAAACGAATCATTGCTACGCGTATTACTTATTTATATAATAATAACATTGTGAGATCTATGGTTAAACGAATTGTTGTTACGCGTACTGCTTATTGTATATAATAATACCATTGTGAGATCTACGGTTGAACGAATTGTTGTTACGCGTACTATTAATGATAATTCTTATTGTATATATATAGAATAAACATTACAATTATAAAGTCTACATTAAAAAATTTTCCTGATGTTGCTTGTGTGTTGAGTAATTGCTTCATAAAATTCAACGTTTTCTTTTTTGATTAGATTATATAGTATTAAAAATATGTAAATATAAAAATAAAATGAGTTATTATAACCTGGCTATAACCTACATTCCTTTTTCTAGTCATATTTTTATTCTTTTACAACCTGATGCTCTTATATATTGAAGAAGAAATTTCAAAAAAAAAATTTATATTAATGAATATCTTGGGGATAATGAGAAGTTGGGGTTTCTTTTTGGCGGCATATTTGTACAGACAATTTTTTGTTTTCGGGGATGTTTTGTTTTCCATTTTTTCAATTTTATTAATAAAACATATAAAATTAATATAGTGGACAGTTTTGGTTTTGCGAAATCATAGTGTGTAACATTCGTATTGAACCCCCTACCTAGTTATTACTTTAAAATATCGCGTGATAATTAATTTGCTAAATTTCGATCCCTGAAATTTCATGATGACATAATGTCACATCTAACCCCGACACCGTTCTAGGGCGCGGTAGTTTGCAGTATTTCCGTATATATTAAATATTGTACCAGTAGATAAGTAATTAGTATATATTGATTCGGGTCGAATCAAGCAAGGAATGATTAGAATGAAAGAACCAAAAATTAGGTGGTTAGATTCAATTCGTATTCGATTTGGTCCGAATTCATTCGGTACCTCCAAGAAATAAATGCTTTTATTCATGGTAAAACATATATTCATAGACGATATAAGCTCCTTCAACAAACGCTCCGTATCCACAAGAAAATTCGTAGTCTTGTAGATGAAGATTGGCAAAATGGTTATTTGAAAACTGTCATGTTTTTTAATTCTCTGGCAAGAAAAATGTTGACCCTCGAAGACAATACAAAGTACATTGTGACATTGGAGCTACACCCGAGTCACCTCTTATAGATGCTAATTTAGTGTAATAAAAAATTTGTGATACAAACCAGCTTGTTTTCAAAAATATAAATAAATTCCTTTTTTAAAAAAATTTATTTTTAGATTCATTCACGAATTTTATTTAGTAAGGTGTACATACTACAAAAAAAAGTTCTTTTTATAGTTTTTTTTTAAATTATATTTTGTATATTGTTATCATTCCCCAATTATAACTAATATTTTTTTTTCCTTCTTTATTTATATACTCGCTTATTATTTTTGTAAAAAATAAAATTATATAATAGAAAAATGGGCATTAAAACAAATTTTAGGAATTCTTTAATTATTTTATTTGTTTTTCTTGTACAAGGTAAAAAGTTCTTTAATATTTTCACTTTTTTTTTTCATTAAGTAAAAATAGGATAATAACGAAAATTTATTTATTTTAGTGATATATGGACAAGTTAAATATTGTGAACAGTATACGCATTATTGCTTTGTTGTTACACCTCCAGGCCTAAATGCTGCATTAGAAGAAAGTTATGTAAACTTTCGCTTGGAAGCTCCAAAAGAGGTTGGGTAAGTAATTGAATGCTTTTTTTTTGGAAAAATAAATATTAAAGGAATGGAAATAATTATATTATAATTTTAGATGGCTTGGCCTTGGTATTGGTGAAGATATGTTGTCATATTTAATTGTAATAATATTTATATTTAATTTTTTAACTTTTAATAAAATAATGCTTAATAAAATTCAGTTTAATGATTTTGATACATTTATTTATTATCAAATAGGTTGCCTGGCATAATGATGCTGAAAACAAAACAATAATATCACAACGTAAAGCAGAATCATATGTAGAACCTAGTCCAACAGAATTTCAAAGTGACCTTATACTTGATCAAGATAATAGTGGAATCATTGGTAACAATTTTGTCGTCAATTTTAAACGTTTACGATCCGTTCAATCCAACACTATCCGTCATAAACAACCTTTCGTTTGGGCAATCTCTTATACGAATCCAAAATCATCCGCTTTTAATGCAACCATTGAAAAACATGATTGGACTGGCCTTACAACATTAAGATTAACACAAAGTGGTCAAACTGACGGTGTTTTGACTACCTATGATAGATATATTATTGCTCATTCTACCTTAATGTTTATTGCTTGGTTTGTCATTACTCCTGGATCAATCTTTGTGGCTAGATTTGGTAGAAACATTTTACCTTCATCTTGGTTCAAAATACATTGGATTGCTCAATTGTTTGTTGCCACTCCCCTTGTAATTATTGGTTTCATCTTACCAATAGTCGCCGTAGCTGGAAATGTTGTTTTTGATGAAACGCATCAGGTAATCAATATCGCACATATCTTGTGGTGGTATTATGTTTTTGCGTTAATAATAAATTTTTTCTCGTATTATTTATAAAAATAGATTGTTGGTTTGACTCTTTTTATTGGCCTATTTGTCCAATTAATCATTGGGGGAGTTCACCATAAACTATACGATCCTTTACGTAATTATACACCTTGGTGGACTCATCTT